AAAAAAAAGTTCGTATATGCATATTCCCCAACGCCTTTGCAATGTTGAGATCTACAATGCACATTCCGCATGTCTTACTCTTAAACATAAAATTTTGGCGTAAAGTGCCTCGCATATTTCTTCTATCTCACCAAACATGAATGTGAGTTAGAGAGGACGTGAATGGGAAATGCAAGACATTTAAAAAGGCAGTATGGCGAAAAGGTATTAAAATTTACCATATATTGTTTTTTTTTACTTCGCCTAGCAAGCTTTTCACTAACAATTATCTTCTTATTTTATCTAAACATGGAAGAGTTTCTTTTAACCAGAGAACCCCTCGATATTGTCAGAATTTCCACGGCATTATTTGTACGAGTAGAGGAAGGTGAATGGACAGGCGTTCTCGAAAAGGAGGTGGAGGATTTTGAGAATGTTCTGAAAAGAGTCTTAGAAAGAGTCCCCCCAGAAGATGTCGAGCGAAGAAAGAAACTTCAAAGTTTTGGTACCGGGAAAAAATTAGCTAAACGGGTATGGTAATGAATTATTTTATGAAAATATATGGATATGATGACTTGTATTTTTTAGGTTTCCTAGTATGGTATTATCACTAGCGAAGAGGCTGATGTCCGTTGTAATATTATTACTTCCCGCACGGCAGTAACTAGTTTTATATCATATATTAGCATATGGCTACATATCAAACATTTTGCCGGCATTTGAGACTTTATGAAAATGGAAACCTAATCTGATCCCGCGATGTATAATTAAATTATTTGTCACACGAGTCTTGGAAACTAATTTTAAATACATTTTAGGTTGGAACTGCATTCGAAGATCTATGTTCACTCTCAGAAATGGAAGCATTAGTAATCGATACCGAAGCCTGGTATGAAGATGCAAATACAAATTTACGATCTTTGAAGCGTGATGTTGGACAGTGCATAACTGAGAGCGCTAGTTATGAGAAAACCATGTGGGAGAGAATAGAAACGGAACTCAAAGAAATTAATGTGGAGAGTCTTGGATTCGATCATCCGATTTGTTCAGGTGTTCTAGATATCAAGTCAGAACCCTTTACAAATATGCCTGGGTCAGTTTCTGATATTTTTAAGGAGCCATTTCGAAGATATAAGTTAGAACAGAATCATGATGTAATGGAAGCCTGTAAAGAATTTATCCGGAATGAGGAATCTAAAATTAATATGGATGATGATTTGGGCAATATTAATTATGGAGAATGGTTGGATAAAACCGAAGAATTACATGATTTAACAAAACGAATGTTAGAATCAATGTAAGTCATCAAATTTCTGGGACCATGCGGTCTCGAAAAATTGACATTTTTTTTTACTTATTAACTGATAAACAATTATAGGCTCAAAATTTGGAAATCGCCAAAATACGAAGCATATATAAAGAAGGAAAAATCGATAAATGAAGGATCATATGTTTGCGAAGTTCTCGCTCCATTGATAAATATAGTGATGAGTGATTTACCAGGAAAACCAACAGCGTGGGACATATGGTAAGTTTAACTTGAAAAGATACACCACTATCATATCTTTTGCTTCAATTAATATTTCTTCTAAATTAAGGGGCGAAGAAGGGAGTTCAGCTAGTGCTACACGAAAAGGTTCTCGTAAAATTGCCCGAAGAGCTGATTATATGATGGTAGCCCAGTTAGGAAAAAAAGCTGAACTTGAAATTGTTTATCTTGAGACCGGTAGACCTAATTCCAGTCAGGATAAGCGGGTTCGTGATCACAAAAAATTAATCCGTTTTTCCAAGGATTCTATAGACACTACGAGAAACATAAAAAACCTTAAAAAGATATTTAACCAATCATCAAAGAGGCAGAATCTGACCATATTTACTATTAACATTGCAGGTACAAATAAATTACTTCTATTTTTTTATATATTCATAAATCGTTCATATTTTGCTCTATCCATTTCTAGGCGATGTTATAGAACTTTATGCTATGCGAAAAGAATCGGGAATTTACAAGTACTGTTTAATAGAGGAGGCAACAATTCCGTTGCACATGACTTCACCAAGTGCTGTATATCCGCTTATCCATACTTTATTGACATTGAGAACGGTTGTAGCGTGTACAATTCACAAAATATTATATAATCCTGACTCGGGGGATAGTGACCATAGTTCTAGTGAAATGGTAGTAACAGTTTCGACCCCCAAAAATTCATAGAATAGAGATTTCATACATGTAATTTTTATTAAGTTATATTATTAATAAAGCAGTGTATTAGATAATAAAAAAAAATCTTGGCATTTTCCGAGACATTATGTCCCAGAAAATTTTCTTGGCAAATTTCAGCGAACTCGGTTCGCCCAAAATCTATAAAATTCTCAAAATTTTTCTTATAAAATTTCTGAATCTATAAAATTCTCAAAATTTTTTATTAGTTACCTATGGTAACAATGACCGGTATACTAACACCATCTTTTCACGTATATTACTTAAAGCAACTTAACCAGCTCCCTTGTTCCATCAAAATAGATGTATGGCGACGTCTTACTTCACGAAAACATCCATTATCGATGGAACAGGCAAGTAGTATTCATCCCGAAGTGGAAGATTTGTTAAATAAGGCGGTTGGAAATTATATTAAGCAAAAAGAGCGTCAGAAGATGAAGCCTATTACTAGCGACTGTGAAACTTTGCTAAGGCAAAAAAATGAGGAATTGTGTATATCAAAGCAGGTATTGGAAAAAAAGATTGAAGAGCTTCTCGAATTGCAAGAGCAGTATAAGTCTCGTGAGGTAGCTATGACCAGGTCTTTGGAAGAGAGTGGTGAGAAAGTTGTCCAATTATCAGATTCGGTAGCTTTTTTCAAAAGTATAATTCCTGATACGAAAAAGGCCATTACATCAGCAGAAAAGTCTATTGATGTGTTAGAGAATAAATGCCGGCATCTGGAAGATATTATTTCTGCTAAGGATAGAAAAATTGTCTCTCTTGTTGATCAGATCCTTTCCAATATGAAGTATAGTGATATAACTATAGAGCCAAAAATATATTCCAGCACTTATGAAAGGAATTTATGGGCGAAGAGGCATAGTGAATCTGAACATGATCTAGAAACCAGGAAAAAATATACATTTCGTCCTTAGTACCTAAGAAAATTCTATTCATTAGTGAGAATTTGGTCCCATCCTAGCCGTATCCTGTGAGGATGTTCGCGGGGTACATTCCACCATGAGATTCGGCAATAATACAAGCATCATTTAAGGATAATTTTTTCATTGTGAACAGAGATTCACTAATTTAGATTTTATTCTTCTAATTTCAAAGGCGTGTCCCAACCCAGTCTAATCGCTAATGGATCATCTACTGGTTTAGTAAAATCAAAGACCACAAAATTCCGATCCCGCAGATGTTTGTCAATAATTTTGGATGCTTTTTTTGGATTATCTGTGTATTGGTGCACAATACGACTAATATCGTCCAGACTACCACTCCCTCGACATAGGGCTAAATGCGTAATATTTTCACGGATTATTTTAGGAGTTTGCGTATACTTCTGACTCACATATATGCTCGATATTCCTTGATGTCGCCCGCTAATGAAATATGGGACAATCTGATCCTGAATCTTTTTTGATTCAGCGCAAAGGTCCTCAAAAACAACAACTGTATTTCTGTCTGAGGAAAACTTAGTTACATCTGGAATAGCGTTCGCCTTTAAGGCCAGAAATGTAACATTCTACCGAGTTGCTTCTGGAGCATTTGCAAATATCTTATAGCAGTTTTTGACCAATACCCATTTCGGTTCATGAATATGCTTCCCGATAAGGACCAGATCATCATT